ATTTTTAATATAAAATTATCTTCATTACATATAAACAATCTGTTCTGTTGCTTTTGCTTTAGCTGTTATATCTTAGAATATTAAAATAAATAAAAGACTATAAAGTAAATAAATAACAACACATAATGAAGACACTCACCACCTGCCCTCTGACTCTCTGTCTGATGCAGTTTTTTGTTTAGCAGTGAAACAGATTTCTGCTGCTCTGTTCCTACTGATGCACTGACTGATTTTATACTCTGTCACCAAAGCACAAACATACCAATGATGACGTTCTTACTTCCTCCCATCGCTCGACCCCTCCAAACAGGGACACTCATCGTTCTTTCGTTCAAGCTCGCAGGGCTAAACTTTCTTGGAAAAGCAGTCGGACATTATTTATATATTTTTTAAATGTCTGACAGGTCGCATCTGTATGCTGTTGAAATCCCACAGAAATATCTCTGAATCTCTCACAACTAACAGGTTTGTCTGTGATTGCTGAAAAAATATATATGTTTAATTAAAAGCCTGATTTAAGGACTTTTAAAAGACTTGGGGACTTTTGTGGACATTTTTGTTTTCTTTTTTAATGAAGCTGTAAAACGTCCTTTTGTTGGGTTGTGTGCATATTAAAATAACTAGTTTTTAATATTTTAATTGTAACATCTTGCATCCTCTGTAAGAACTTCAGAGTCAGCGTTTGGCTTTGTGGGTCAGTCATGTTTGACAAAAACAACCATCAGATGTACTGAAGTCCTGTGCTGACACTCGTGATGTTCAGACCACGAAGCCTGTCCTGACTCTGCTTCAAAGTTACTTCCCCACAGTAAACACGTTGCCTTATTCACGCTTCATCCGCCTTCCACAATCTTTATATCCGTTCCTGCGTGATGCAATATTGATCAGCATAGAGGTTAACTTAGTGGTGCACAGAACTGCATAGCAAAAACAGTCTACACCTCTCTCCCTCTGTGAAGCTGTGCACGAGGTGTCTCCAGTGTGATTGTGTGTTCATTTGCAAGTGTAGCTGCAGCTTGTGATGGATTGACCCAGAGCAGAGGATTCGGTCACACTGCTATTCCAACCAATCACACCGTCACCCCCCTGTAGGTTCTCCAGTGAACTTGTTCGTTCTGAAGGAGTCTGAAGAGTGTGTCACGTTCCTGGTGTTTTGACCCAGCGTTTTGACTTTTAGTTCATTTGGATGTTATGTTTTAGTTCTTTAGGGTATCTAAGTGCATTTGTTTATTAGTTTCTCTTTGTGTTTTCTACCCCTGTATTTAAGTTTCCCTCTCCCTGTTTCATGCTGCTTATGTTGTCAAGTTTATATTGTCTTGTCTGCGTCTCATGTTTC